AAATTCCAAATTGCTAAATCGTTGTGGTTAGAAAGGCATCTACTGTCCGTAGCAGTCAAAATGTCTGTAAAAGACACTTAAAAGACTTGCACAGAATGAAGTCCCAAACTGTTGATTTGCACAGTGCTTACCCTAATATAGTTATTAAAGTTAAATGAAGACCACAATGGAAAAAGACACAAAATGGCATGAAAGAATGAGTACAGTGCTGAGGAGAAAAGAAGTCCTGACCATTCCTTATTCTGCCACTGATTTACTTTGAACTGCTTTCCTTTTCTGCCCCATTGTCTCTATTATAAACTGGGGACAATGAAAGTTACTGTATCTGTTTTATAAGGATTCTGTAAGGATTAATCAAATGTTTTAAAGACTCCACTTGCAAAAAAAAAAACAAAAAACCCCCCAAAAAAACAAACAAACAAAAAAAAACAAAACAAAAAACAAAACAAAAAAAACACCTTTTCAAATGCAGCAGAAATAAAGGTCTTGGGTTCTGGAAGTGCTTTTTCATTATTCCATGAAATTATATGTTTAGCTGAATTATAAAATAGTTCATCATCATTTTCCCTCCTTGGATAGTGTCTCTCCAGAGAAGTGTGGTAGTGCGCCAAAACACAAACTGAACATTCATGTTCTAAAGAGCAAAGACAAAGTGGCTATTGTCTGGGAAAGGGAAACTGCGTCAACCCAGGCATGTCTCCCTCTCATCTTGGTAGAGCATATGATTATATGTAGTGGCCCAACCTCATTGTTGGGGACCACACATGGGCACATGCAAATTAGGCTGGAATAAAGCTGTGCCTAAAACGCTAGGTCAGCAGATGGCACCAACAGTCCATCTGCCTTTATGGCAGGAGTGCTGAATTTATGCCCTGGGCCAGATCCAGATTGTGGGACTCTCTTGCAAGCTGGATCCAGCCCAGGGTAGTTCCAGCATGGGGCAGAAGGTGCACCTATGGTTCCAATGACATGGCCTGTGCTGGAGCTGAAGCCACCATCACCACGTCAACCACCTGGATTTAAAGCCGCATGCCCTATGCCACGGCAGTAGCTCTAGACCCAGAAAGGTGCCAGAAGTGATGTAGCCTGTGATGATAGATAAAGCACCTCTGAGAGGCCAGAGGTATATATCATTCCTTGTTTGCCTGCCCACTGCCAATGGCCACATTCACCAGGGCCCAAAGGGCCCACATGCTGCAGTATGCCACTCCCCCAGCCATGACTTTACAACTTCCATTGGCCCACTGTTAACTTGGAGGCCGTATGCTTGACATTCATACTTTACTGAATAACAACCTTCTCCTGTTAGATACTGCAGTCAGTTGTTGCTCCAGTGGTTGAAGCCTCAAAGTCCAAGTTTCAAATGCTTCTGATTATAGGAGACTGTTACGTGTATACCATGATAGTTTTTGTTTTGTTTTTACTTAAAAGAAAATTACTTATAATATAAAAACACTGTTAAAAGAATGCTAGCATTGCAAAATTGGAAGATTTTGAATCTACAGTTGCTTGAACAACCTGAATTCTGTCGCCTTCATGATCACATACAGCTCTTTCTACAGAACACCCCTGCCTCATTGAGTGTGGAGTCAATGAACAAAGAGGAGAATAAATGTTGCATGGGCAGCCATAAATCATTATGTCCTAAATTTCAAGTCCTTGACTTTGCAAACTAAGTAACTAATACATTCCATAGGTAATTACCTCAATTTAAGGAGCCTGAAAATGCATGATTTAGAAGGCAATTTCTCAAATGTATCAAGGATAAATGCCGAAGTGGTAAAAACAGCTCCTTGAGAGAAAGCAAGGAAAACTGATTCCGGCGATACATTTATTTACTACTGAAAGTAAAATGCATTTGGGTAACAGTATTGAATGGTTACCTGGATACAGAGAATTTATGTAAATGATTAAAATTTAATGTATTTGTTTTCTGATAGCACTGAAACTTTTTAAGTGAGAGTTTTTGGTAGCAGTACTCTTTGCATATTGGTTTGTACAAATAAGAAATTGCTGTGGATGCCTGACTGCTTCCTTTGCAGTTTATCTATTTTATTTGCAGAAAAGCTTTTAATAATGTACTACTGCTCTATATATTGGTGTGGAAAAGCATAAAATGGAAGTGTTTTTTAAAATGGATGAATGAACGTTCAATAATGTCTTTAACTTAAGTCACGACACTGACAGGTATTGAATAGTTGGGCCGTGCCTTATCTTTCTGCTTAATTCATCAACTCTCTAAACATGCCAGTCAAAAGGTGTCTCTGCACCTGGACGGAGCTAATTATTAAATAACACTGTCAATTCATACCTTATGCAAACATGCCGCAAATACAAAAATAATCTATGCCTTCAAGACATTAAATGATAGATTCTCTTTGATTTCAAAGGGTAAAAACAACCGAACTTGTTCAGATAGAGTTCTTTTTAAGAGAAGCATAACATTATTTCTTTTTTGTGACTTCTCAGACTATTATATGGGTATTTGCATCCAATCACCAAAGAAGTGTTGAACTTCTGAAGGAACTGCATTCATTTTGCAAACAGGCCCACAGCTCCAAACAGGCCCACAGCAATTGGACTCTTTAAAGCCAGGAAAACAATTAATTCCCAAATGTAGAGATAGATCTGCAATGCTTTCCAGAGGTCTTACATACTTGGATGTTGGGAGGGAGGGTGTTTGGACTCATTTCTACTCAAGAGTATGCTCTGTCTTTCAAAGATGCTCTTAGGTTAGTGGCTGATTTGTAACCTGCACTTAGCATTCATTTGATAAGAGAATGCACCAAACCAACAACAGAAAATGGGGATGGAAGAGCTCAAAGCAGATAATCTTGACTCCCTGTTCCTGCTCCACCACACTGAGGCAAGGTGATCTATATTTAAACCATTCCTGATAGACATTCATCTCACCTTCACTGAGGAAGACTCCACAACCTCCCTGGGCAATTCCTGACAACAGAATCTCACTGTGCTATTTTATTCTGTGGTGATACCGGTAAATTAAAATCAAACTACATGAAAAAAGAAAGAATTTTTCCTTGAATTACTGAAGACACTGTAATCTATTTATATTTTAAAAAACCCTTCAAAATTTACTTTTCACTGAATTTTTGCATTTTCCCCAACCAGATTTTAGTCCTTCTCATATTCTTATTCTTGCATCTTATTCTCGCACACTAGCACTTAAAACACTGCAGATAATTTTTTTTCCATCAAGAAAGCCTGCTTTTGCTGGAACTTCACTGAGCTTGTCTAGAGTGTCCAGGAGAGGACACAGCTGTTTACTCCACTAATCCAGGGCCATAAGCCAGACCCAGAAGCTTGCCAGCAAGGCTCCTCTGCACTCATCCACAAGCACCTACTCTCTAGGGTTATCATATTTCCTGTTTCAAAGAGGACACCTGTGGGGAGGGGGGCAGGTAATATGACTGTGGGAGGTAGACAGTGATATATCCATGCCCTGTCACTGCCCCTCCCTCTCAAGCCACAGCCACCCCAGCACTGCTGCTGCCCCTCACTCCCAACCCCACTCAACAGATCATGCTCATGTCCCTCACTCCTAACCCACAGCCCCTCCCCCATCCTGCTGATACCCCTCACTCCAGACCTGCAGCCCCCTGCCCTCCCCAGTCCTGCCAGTGCCCCTCACTCCCAACCTGCAGCCCCCTGCTCCCTCCAGCCTTGCAGCGTGTCCCTGCTGCCCCGCCCCTGCGACCACAAGGGTCCCAGTGCTGCTGACCTGGCCACGCAGCTCCCTGCTGCTCCCAAAGACTCCCTTGCTCCCTTCCCCTGCCCTGCTGCAGCCCCAGCACCGCCAGGCACCCACTCCCTCCTCACACACCCATCCCCTCCATGCACCCCGGCCCCATGTACATGCACAAACACACAGACCCCCAGACAGCCCCTAAGCCTTGGCCCTCTAACCCCTGCCTCCCACAAACTTACCTGCATGCAACTGCCAGGGCTGGTCCTACCACCAGATAATGCCCCTGACTCCAACTGCCCTCCCCTTGCTTTCCTCTCAGTCCCAAACAGCTTCTCCTAGGGCAAGCCAGGAAGTGCCAGGAAAAACATCAATACTGAGTAGAGCAAAATCCAGGACATTTTTTGATATTTTAAAAAACCACCCAGATGGAGATGGGAAGACCGAAAAAGAGGACATGTTCGGGAAAACCGAGACACATAGAAACCCTACTGCTGTCAAACCTTCAGTCTCTAACAGGCCTGAGAGTGACCACCAGGGACTAGCTTAGACCAGTCGCTGGCTTAACTTACTGGTTTGAAGCATGTCAGCGGAATAGGGAGTAGATGAGGCTCAGTTCTGTTGTTCCTAGGACCAGCCACGGCAGCAACAGACAAGTTAAATCAGACTACCTTCATGTTTAAGCACGTGCTTAAGTCTTTTGTTTAGCTGGAGGTGATGTTATATGCTTGACCTGGCAGGTTGTGCAACTGGGTTCTCAAGTATGTGCATACTCCACCCACCTACAACCACAGGGATGTTCCAGAAAAGGAGATATATAGGCGAGGCAGCTACCAGTTTGTCCATTTGCCCCCACTTGCAAATCCTTGGACCTGGGACCAGGTTCTGGAGATCCCAGACCCAGCTGACTGACAGTCTTCTGGGTTTAGATCATGTTTGTTGACCCAGATGCGGAGTGATCTCATCATCAAGTGCTGGGATTCACCTCTTCAGCAGTCCAGGTGAGCCCAAATTCTCATCTCACTTCAAGTATGCAATTCTCACTAATGCTGATGAGAACTATGGTGCATCATTAATTTATTTAGTCATAAAACCAGTGACTGAGTATGGGGAAGTAGTATTCACAGAGTCATTAAGTATTCCCATGCTCCAAGCTTACCAAAATGTTAAACATGCCAACCTACCCCCCCCAAATTCCATGTTTGTTTGGGTTTTTTTAAAGTTACCACTACCTTCCTTTTTTCTGCTCCTTTTCATTTTATGTTCTTTACAACAACTTATAAAGAAGTTTTACCTTTCCAAGCATCCTTCCTAGGAAGTAATAGTGTCTAGCATAAGAGTCTCCAACAAGCATCTGTGCAGCAGGGTTTGGGTAGAGAAGCCCTTCATTAGTGGTTTTAAAAAATCCCTGGTTAGGATTAAATCCTGATTTAAGCAGTTCATTCAGAAATTCTCTGAAAATTCCACCACCATCAATGCCAGCTTCATCCAGGCCATGTGCATTAAGCAAGTGAACACGAATTCGCTTTTTCAGGTCAGGCTCTGGGGGGGAAAAGTGACAAGGAAAGTCATATGCAAGAAGCTACACAACTATGTTTAGGAATATTTAGAGATATATGTCCACACCCATACCCACACATAAAAAACTCAAATGGTAATATTGTAGAAACAGTACTGATTTGGGGATGGACGTGTTACTCAGAATTGGAAAGTGACACATGAATTCTGAACATAGAACCCTGTCGGGTTTTTTTGGTGTTTTGGTTTTTACATATAGAAGAGCTATTTCTAGAAGTAGTTCAGAAAGGGTAATAATATTAACATAGTTTCTGGAAGTTCTTTTCCTTTAAAAGCACACTCACTACATGCCACGAGTCTAACTACAGCTACCAGAGATAATCCTTTTTTCCTTCCAAGAAAAACAAGGTCTTTCCTTCCAATGTGGAACACAAAAATAAAGCTGTCTTGAGATGCCGTATTAACATTGTTTGGTCTGGTACCAATAGCTTGCATTCACTCAGACAAACCTTTATCACAGAATCATAGCATCACAAGGTTGTAAGAGGGTTCTCTCTCAAGGGTTATCTGGTGCAGATGCACACAAATTTCTTGCCTAGTGGTTCCTGAGATACTAAGCGTTTCTGCATATGTGGACAAGCTGTTTTGAATAACATTTTTAGAGATTTTTTAAATATATAATCTCTCTCTACCTAAACCCTGCACAATTGAGAGTATAGACAGAGATAAAAATATTTCATTAAAATTTTTAACCCGGACATTTCAAAAATAGTTTTCCTAATCATATTGGTAGTCTCTACAGAATGCATCTGTTAAGTCAGGGGTTCTTAAACTGTGAGTTGCAAGCAATTTAAAAGGGGGCTGAAAACTTCCCAGGGCTTACACATGGCAGCACAGGGAAGCAGCACACGGTGGTGGCGCAGAGAGGTGGATGGCAGCAGTGGCTGCTGTATGTGAGCTCCCCATCTCCCACTGCCGCCATGCAGCTCTCCGGGTCATGGTATTATAAAGTTTGAGAACACCTGTGTTAAATGGTAAGTAATAATGACTTTACCAATGGTAATTTGGAGTTACCTGAATAACTTGTGATTTTGCTGTTTATGATTTTAAAGAAGTTCCCTTCACATGGAGAAAGGAGTTTACGTCTAAAAGCTGTCAGTTCTACTCCATTTCTGTTTTTAAATATCTAAAATAAGGTACCATTGAAGTATTAACTGAACCCATATAGACAAACTGGCTGCCTCTTCCAAATCAATGACCTTTGTTCTAGTGCAATCAATTCTAAGACCTCATCTATGAGCACTCAATCACCTAGGTCCATTTTAATCAATTTGGTCTATAATCCTGAAATTATGCTTCCAACAGCTTTCAGAAATTTCTTCTTTTCTGTACTCCCATGCTGCATTTGACCTACTAGCAATACTCTGCATAACTGTATTGTGATTCAGAATACCCATACAATTTTTTCTTTAATTGCCATATTCCTTGGTTTGGACTGAAACAGAATAGCACTCATAGTATATACATTATACACACACAGACTATGAATATACGATTCTATATTCCATATATTCTATGACAGCCATGTGGGGATTGGGAGGATTCCAATTGCAACATGATGCAAACACACATAGATCAAGAGAAAAAATATTTTTTTTAAATAAAATTAAAATAAGTTATTAAAATAAATTTGATTTTTTTTAGTACACAATTTAGTTGGGTTTTTTTTCTGGTTTCAAGATGGCAACCTCGCCCCCAACAGAGTACTTCTGGGGCAAGGAGAGGGACTTCTAGTAGCAAAGGTCAGGGGCAAGTGAAGGAACTTCCGGTCCTAAGTTGGAAACCAGGGGGCAGGGTACCTGTCAAGGGGCAGCGTTACCATTGCAGCCCTCGACAGCTCACCAAAACTCATTAAGCGGCCCTGCAGTTGAAATAATTTCCCAACCCTACTCTAGGTCAACTGAGGACTCCATCATGCCTGGCAATTCCCCAGTAGGGAGGTAGATTTCTTTTCACTACCTATCCCCAAGATATTTTTGTTATATCCAAACTCTCCATGTGTTTAATAAGGGCTCTCTACAATTTAGATCTAGCTGAGACAGAAATGTAAGTACTGATACAGCTGCACTAGAACAAACCCACTGCATGGCTGCCATTTATAACTCACTACAGTGATATATGCTAGTGTACCTAACCTAAGTCTGGCATAAGCCACATTGCATCTTTCAAATTCTGTCAATATTAAATGTTTTTTCTTCAATGCAGATGAAATTCCATGTGCAAAATGTCTAATGAGCAGTATGAGTGAAAACACAAACACAAACACATGGAGAAACTGACAACAACATAAAAAGGCATCCAATGAAGATTTAGTTTGAATTAAAGAAAGTGGTGCATCAAAAATGTTAGACTGCAATAATCAAAATGGAAAGTGAAGAATTGGGATGAGGGATGTGTGTATGGGGGTGATCTCAATTTCAAAACTAATTTAAGCATTTCAGGCAAGGCATATCTACCCTTCCAATAAGGTAAAAACAAACAAATAATTATATAGCAAGTTTTATATAATATAAGCCTACCGTTTTCAGGGGAAAGTTTGTCATAAGCATCTTCATAAATATAATTTCTTCGGATAGTAACGTTAATTCCATCCAGAAATGGACCGTCTCCTTGAACTTCCTGTTTGTCAGCATAGATCAGTCTTTGAAAAATCTGGTCAAATGAATTAAAAGAGAAATCAAGTAACCATACTTACATTAGGATTTTCAATAAGTGTTTACTTCCTAGTTACTACAGTTCTTTGAGATTTGCCTCTTCATTCATACTTAAAAGACTTGGCACCTCTAACACTGCTGTAGAACTGCCATAACTATTGAAAGGAGGTGGCGTAGAGAAGCCCCATCATTCTCAACTTGCAGAAAGACTAACCAGGTTTGCTCTGTAGGCAAAAACCTGCGAAGAATAGATATGGGGGTAGGAGAGACAGTCAGTCCTACCTGCTCTTAAGACTCAAGAGCCGAGCTGATCCTGCAGCACAGGCTCTTCAGGGGGCCATTCCAGTATCCCTTCTAAGTCAGCACTCAGGTTTGATAACCACCCCTAGTTATGCTACTGCTCTGTTCTACCAGTAAAAGGGAACACGTACTCCCCAACCATCTCCTCAGTTCTTTCTTCTTATCATGAAGAGTCCTGAATACAAGCAAGTCTGATGCAGAGGGGAAAGCAAATAAGTAGTATGAAAGCACAGTCAGCTATCAAAGAACAATAGTTACTAGTAACATTCACAATTATAGGAAACTGAAATAGCAGTGCCTCTGGAGCAAGGGCTCATAGGATGAAACTACTATCAATATCATTAAAACTAGTTTCAAATCCCAAGCTGAAGAAGGTCCTCTAGTTATACCCCAGGGAATTATGCACAGAAAAATGCAAGATTATGCACAAAACCCCCTCAAAATTATGCTAAATTACTTTTTTTCTTCCCCACCCCCTTTTTGTTTTTGTTTGTTTGTTTGTTTACAAATTAACAACAAATATAAAACTATTTTAACCTTCTTTAGAAATATATGCAGGTACTTTGTATGTATGGGGGGGTATAGGGGGGGTTGTGAAGGTGTCGGTGTGTGTGGGGTTTGTAGAGAGGAATTGTGAAGGCCTGTGTGTGGGGGCAGTTCATGGGGAGGTTGTGAAGGGGTGTGGGTATGGGAGTGTGTGGGTGGATGTACCCCCACCCCCGCCACATGTCCCACAGCCCCCACCACTGGCAGCTCAGGTGATGGGCCCTCAGGGAACTCTTGGCCACAGCAAGGAGACGCCCAGCAGCAAGTAGCTCCAGCTGCATTCTGGAGGCTGCATGGAGCCAGGCCCGCCTGCCCTGTTGGCGCACACCTTCAGACCAGACCAGGCTGGGTCCATACAAGCACATGGGCCTCATGACAATGCAGGCGGGAGCCATGCACCACTGAGCTGGGCTGGCTCCATGCCTCCATGTAGAGCTTCCAGCACTCCAGTGGGAAGCCACACATGGAGGCACAGAATTGCATCATTGGGCCAGCTGGGCTCCACGCCTCCACATACAGTTTATAGCTGGAATGCTGGAAGCCCCCCACAGAGGCATGGAGACAGCTGGGCACGCCTGATGGCACGCAGCCCACACCCCACTCAGCCCCTCCCCCCAAGCTCACCCACAAACCCCACGCTCACTCCTGCTTCTGCAGGGAGGAGCTCCCCCCCACTTACCAGCTGTCAAGTCACGCACCACCATGATTGGTGCTTCCATATGGGGCTCCCAGCTGGAGTGCCGGGAGCCCCACAGAGATGGAGGCACAGAGCTTGCCAGGGTTAAATTATGCAATTGTGTATGGTCACGCCTTTTATGTGCAAAATTGCATGGGTGCATAATTCTCTGGAGTGTATCTAGTAGAAGAGTCATTTGTCATGTCCTTAATAAGCCTAGAGATTACGTGGTCAGAGAATAAAAGACCTGTAAAAATTACAAAATAATGATAGGCAGAAATAGTTGCTACATGCACTTATAGAAAATCTACCGCTGAATCTGTCTCTGACTTTGGATACAAGATACACTAGAACATCACCACTCCTGGGTGTTAACTCTTCCCTTTACACTGAGCACACAACTGGTGTTTCTTATGGTCTGTAATAATTCAAGGTAGTTCTCTCTCATCTGTAACAGTTCAGCTTTAACCATGTCAACACAAGGGGTCTACAATAGTTAACTGCCTATCCTTCATGCGCCGAGATAAAGCATTTCTCCATCCAAGCGAAAAATCCTGACTCACTACATCTGCTCTGCTAGCAGGTGAGTGAAATGATGTACAGAACCGAACGAGTTTTCTTACTTCCTTGGACAGGGCATCAGCATATGCTTCTCTCGGTTTCTTGACGGAGAACATGGGAATGATATTGTGAGCACCTGCACTACCCAATGTTCTGTGAATGGACTGAAAGTCTACAGGACTCATTTTTCAGCTCTGAGTTGTAGGACACTGATGTGAGGTCTGAAGTCCCAATAATCATTCACAAGGCAAATGTAAGTCAAAACAGTCAGACTCAGAAGCTTCTTACAGACTGCATATTCTACTTCGGTTGAACCGTGAGAGTTATCAGGAAGCCTCATCTTTTTTAGGAGGAATAGCCCAAAGTACTGGAAGAGGTCGGCCTAATCTTGAAGTGTGGAAGATATCCTGTTGACCCAACTAAGAATTAACTAATACGGCCTTGCATCTGCAATGTACTACAGATATTTAGGGGCTTTTCTTAATAAATCTAGTGGAAAGAATGAAAGACAAGACATGGAGCTGGAAGTAATTTCTCCCCACAGAGAATCAAAACTCTTGGCATGGATCAGTTATTCCCACATGAAAGCAAACATGCTTGAGACTGAGTGACAGACAATTCTATTTCCCTGGGATAGAAAAAGAATAATGTCCTCTGGAAGGGGTGGGAAGAACCTGCAACCTGGGCATCCTTTGTATGAAGCATGCAACAAACTGGGGAGAGGACAGACAGCAGCAGGTAGGGCAAGAAGCAAAAAGCAGAACAGCAGATTGGGCAGGGAAAGGGATACTAGGGAAGGGTGTGTGGCTAATTTGTGGCACACCTGTCAAAAAGGTTGGCCTCCATTGTCACCTAGTATTAGTGTCCTGCTATGAAACTACAGCAAGGTCACTATTTCTGACGCTGTCTTATATCCAGCAATCTAACACCAAGTAACATGGAAGAGACATGGCCTGTATTACAAAAGGAGAAGAGTGTGGTTCAGTCATACGAAAACTGTTATTTAAGGGCCAGAAGCTGAGATGATGTGTGATAAAGAGCCCTGCTTCTGTCTGAGGTCCTTTGGCAAAGGCAGCCCTGGGAGTGGCAGAAGACTGGTGTCTTTCCTGGAATCATGCTCTGCAGTGTTTATACAGAGAGGGACTGTCCATGGTACAGAAGCAAAGTATTTTATCTCCTCGTTAATGAAGATCGGGAAAGCCATAAGGATCAGCTGTAACTTTTGTTTTAATTCTTTCCGAAGTCTGCTTCAATTTATAACTAAAAGACCTGGACTCTCAAAGAGAAGTTCTTTCAGTTGTGGAGACCTGAGCATCCAATCCCGAAATATTTCCACAATAGAATCTGAGGGGTCACAGGATGCTCTCTGCATGCCTAATGCCACTTCTTATTACTTATCAGTTCACCTGCAGTCAAAAATAGGGTCGACACACAGTATAATATACAGTTACCTATAGCCACAAGGGCTTAGCAATTCATTACTTGGAAACCCAAAGAAGCAGAAGAATGCCCTTCTCTTCTGACCCATACCCCACTTCTATTCAAGGGAACAGAAAGGTAACACCTGAAAATATCTTTTTTATGGAGAATTCCTAGGACGCAGATGCTAGCAGTGAATCAGTCCAGAGACACTGCAACAAAAACTAATAACCTCCTAGAGCACAGGTTACATATTAATTGTTTTGATACTTGTGGTAGGGATATAAGATTGTGTCAGATGACCTTAGCTGGGATGAGTAGTCCCATGAGAACAGGGAACGTGACTTTATCTTTTATCTTCTATTTCATAATGTAAAGAAGGGAAGAGATGCATCTCATCCTAAAACCACCATTTGAAAGGGTTATCAGAGCTTGTCTTTCCAAAAGTGCCCGAAACCATTTCTGTTCATCAGTAGAAGATGAAAAGAAGCCCCAACACAGACGAAGCCCTGATCTGGTATTCAGACCACATTGGGACATTCTTCAGTGGGAGGATGCTCCATTTATTCCCAGCTGTTACACTTAAGGCAACAGTACCAGTGACAAATGCCAATTTTATCTACACAGAATGAAAGGGATGCTCCTAAAATTCAAGTGCACAAGGTAAGGCCAGTGCCATTTACTGCTGACATAACCAGCAAAGTCTATGCTGAAACAGCACCGACAGCATTAAACACAGTAGTCACTGATTCCTGAATGTTGTAATAATTGACCAGGACCCTGCATATGATTTTTCCAGGAAGATGAAACTTTCAGTGAGTGAAATTAGTGAGGATTCCAAGAGCAAATCAGAAGTATGCAGTGCCCTTCATGCTCCTCAAACATGTTCTGGTGCTCAACCTTTTTATCCAATGGGCCACACAGGCAGTGCCCTGGTCCCTCTGTGGAAGCCTCCAATTTGATTCAGAAAGATTTGACGATTCGGCCACAGACACAGCTTTATATGTTTTTTCTACGTACCTCAAGGTACCAGGTGTGGCTCCATCTGCCCCACCATCTCCATGTTCATGAGCCACACCTGTTACCTTGAGGTATGTAGAAAAAAAACATACAAAGCTGCATCCATGGCCAAATCGCTGGTTCTCCGAATCAGAATCGAATCTTCAGTTTCAGCCAAACTGAAACAGGACAGTGATCCAAATCAGCAAATCGAATCACTGTCCCCCGAATCAAGCCAAATCCAAATCAAATACTGCCCGCTTTGCACACCCCTACTGAATAGTGCTGTGGAAACTCAAGAAACAAAGACCAACCAAAGGTTTTGATGGAGAACATCCAGTCAAAAAAGAAGAAATTGATGGAATCAGTTATGTACGGGTGAGGTATCCAAGCCACTTGGCACCCAGCCTCAAGCTGAGATCTCTCTCTCTCTCTCTCTGAATGCCACTTTTTTCCTTTCTCTTTCCTGATATAAGGGCATGAAAAAATCTGGAAGCCTCTCACACACAACATTAATTTACACCAAAATTTGGGGCATCGTGGTAGGTTTCAGTGCCAGACACATTGGACAAGTCTCTGTTGCGTAAGTCTTTGCCTTGATTCAGGGCCTGACATCAAGGTCAACACATCAGCTGAGACAACAGGACAGCTGTCAAAGCTCTTGGATTAGCTACACCAACCAGCTCCTGAAGGAACTGCTGTAGGATGATCCAATTTAAAGGTTTAAAGAAGCCAAGTGTATCTTCAGTCTAAAATGTCTGTCCTTCCCCATCTGAGTGAAGTCACAAAAAACTATACATTAAGAGATTACATTAGCCAATCCCAAGACCCCTAGGCACCAAATGTGAATCTCTCTCTCTGAAAAGATGGCTGAGCAAGATGCAAATTTTTGAATCCCTTAAGGGAACTGGTGTAACCTCTAGGATGGAATAAAACAAGCATCTCCAGATGCTCTAACTACACTATGAGTTAGTCACTAACCATAATAGACTAACTAGACCACTAACTAAGCTATCTAACGCTAGTTCAGTTCATCTCTGCTTTGACAGTGAAGAATTTTACAAGGTTGGAGGAATTTCACTCCTTTTTACAATGAAACCAAGGGCATCACCCTAACACAAAAGTATTCCTTCAAGCCCAGCATACAGAACTTTATTATACAAGCTCTGCAGCTTCATGGTAGAGGCAACAAATCCTATAAAAAGGGATGTAGACAGGCCCACAAAGAACCTTCACCAGAGTTCTTCCCCAGACAAACTAAGACCACATCACTCAAAGCCTGTTTGTACAAATGTATTGTGGTACAACAAAATACCAAAGTCACTGAACAATATTTTAATATACTCAGACTACACTTCTGTCAATTATGATGAGCAATGGTTTTAAAATAGAATACCTAAAAAGAACTTTTACTATGGTACTATGAAGCTGTATTAAATCTTTTAAATATCTGTACTCTCTGCACTGCAGTTCTTTCAGAGGAACCTAAAAAGACAGTCTTCTTCACGAAATGTGTCACAGCCTGTTCAGTAAACATTGATTTATATTCCCCATGCAACTATTTTTCATTTCCTTGATGGGGGTGGTACACAGTGATTCCAACACAATTCTGGGAGTAGTTTGTTAATTAACTGATGCTGTAAATGCAACAGTAGCAGCTCAGAAATTGTTCTCATGGGTAACGTCAAAACAACAGTTTTTAAAAAACATCTGTGGTGGAACTTGAAAACACTGATGAACCTGAAAATTATATTTGTAAGATCTGGAAAGCATTCATAACAAATCACAAATAATACAAGAAACTTTACGTCACATTTCTATACTTCCCTTATATACTAAATATGCCTTTAAGTTCAACTACTCACTTCTGAAAACAGAAATATTACTTGTAGAAATTTCTTCCTTAAAACTGGCTCAGTTACATTACACTGACTGAATCAGTACAAAGGACAACAGAAAGTAAGGTGTTGATCCTGAAATCAGATACTTGTACACGTACTCTAGAGGAAAAGGATGCTACATTAATGCAGGCATTTACTAATAGAGTGCCAAATGTAGAATCCAGGTCCAAATATTACTCTGTCTCAGGTTATGGTTACATACGTTATGTCCTAAATATGGAGGAGAGACAATTCCCAAATATTTGTTGTAAAGAAACAAAAACAGATGGCGAAAAGAAAGAATTTTGTTATGAATGCTAATATTGGGACAAACAGGCTAGGGAGTGAGGAGGGGAAGAAACTGACTCTTCATTATGCAGGTAGATGATCCAAGACCTAATTTCCTACTTAGCTCAATCCACTGAATTACATTTACTGTAAAAAACCTAAAATACATAAAAGTGAGAAAAACACAGATACCTTTACTCTTTCTTCAAAAGGAACTACAAATGGTAGCTCTGTCAAAATTGCAAGCTGTCGTTCTTCGGACACAGAAAGAGGTGCTGGCTCCAGGCCCACTTAAAAATATAAATAAAGATTCACTTTTGATAATAAAACTTACCTAATATTCTTTATTATACAAAAATCAATTTATAATGATAAATCCATCAGTACACTAAACATGTAAGCACAACCGATATACCTAAAACAGAAGTCACAGTACGCCGATTTCTTAGAAATCCTACCTTTCTAAAGTATTACTGTTTCCACTGTTAAATTGAAATTTGAGCAATGCAAACTTGCTCCAAACAAACTGCAACACACACACACAAAATGCCATTGCATTTTCCCCATTAGAAATATCATGCTTTCTATTCCTTATTCTTTAAATGTTGCTTAACACAATTAAAAAAAACCCCTAAACTCAACTTTTTGAGAAATAACCTAACCAAGCTAATCAAGAAGCTTAAGTCACAAGTATCTGCATTAAGGTGGTACCAAAGGCCCCATTCCATTGACCAAGGACTCCATATCTCAGAGTAGTTTACTGGATTGTGTTTTCATTTAGGGAGTCTGTTTTCACCCAGCATACCAACTTAGGTATAAATGCCTTAACAGCCAAGCCAGAGCTCACTGAAATCAAGAGGAAAAACGCAGTTATTTCAACAGGCTTTGGATGCTCAAAAAAAGCACATCTGTCTTGTGATTGAATAAACATTCAATCACTTTAAAAAGTGAAAAGAATGGCAAGAAGTTACATAACCAGCTTCAGCAAACACCAAGATGATGTGTGCAAAGACAAAAACGGCAAAGGACAAGAGTTGCACAAAAGCAAATCTGAAGCCATGGTGCAGCTCCTCTGGAACGTTCTATTATCCAGTAAGGAGGCATTTCAGAACCAGTTCAACTCAGGGTTTTACTAATTCAGGGTCACAATCCTACTCCAGTCTCAAAGAAAGAAATGTATAGGTCAGACAAGTTTCTTTGGGTAAATCCAGTATCTTTAATTAAACCAACTAAAACAGTTGGAAAAGTTCTTCTTCGCAAGCTTTAGGGTACAAAAACGCTTAATCAGGCTGAGGAAGCACCTGCAGCTGGTCTGTGCTCTTCCTGGATGGAATAAAAAAGCATGCAGGGCACAACAGATAGAGAGAAAAGGAACGACGTGCAGGAGCACACAATGCTACTGACATTGCTCATATACTTGATGGTGTGGTTAAAGGTCTATCTAGATACAAAGCTGAAGACCCAGACACAAAAGCCCCAGACATTTTTGCTTTCACATTTATCATCAAAGCTGAGAGAAAACCTGGCTCGCAAGCAAAGTGAGGCTTTGCAGACAAGGTAATAAAGCTGAAGTAAATGGCACATGTGACTAATGGGGCCAAGGAGATTACAGCAGCACTTGCAATCTTTTCTTTGGCATCTGCCTGAAGGGTGGTGGTGCCTGGCCGCCCTTCTGCAGCTGGGCACCACATCAATGATCATTATTAAAGGGCATTGTACTTTTTAATTCCCCAAATCACTTCTAAGTACAGATATTTTAAGAAGTGATTTAATGAGACATGACCCAACATATTAGTACACTTGATGAATACCCACTTTTGGCAAATTTCAGCAAGGCAAGCCCTTGGAATTTTTGATAAAATACTTCTTTAAGGTTACCCTTAGTTTACTCAGTAAACATTTTTAATTAAAGTCAATGTGTGCTGCCTATTAAGCTAAGGGTTAAAAGCATTTTAAACAGAAAGTGCATGTACAGCAAAGGTAAACCACTACCCAACTTCGACAGTTCAATTATTCTGGTCAATTAGTCAATTTTATCTGCATTTCTCCATCAAGGTTTCCTTCTTTAAAGAGAAATATGGGATGGAGTCATCAATACAGAGGACATTTAGAACTCAAGAGTCTGCCATTTAAGTAAATGAAAAAGCACAAATAAACACAGCCATATGTGTTCAGAGGTACTTTCACACTAATTGGCTCTATCCCACATGAAAGCAAGTGGGATTAAAACAAATCATACGCACATTGTTATGTGCTTGTTTTCACACAATGCTTTTTTTTTCATTGTGTTTAGCACTCACAAAAGGTGACATTTCTGAAGGCCTTTGTTTAGCCAAAAAGCAACTGCACTGGCAACGACAAGATGAGTTTCCATATACAAATGTATCTAATCCTGGACCTAGTTTAGGGGTAACCTTTTAGGTGGGAAATCATTACCCAGATCCACTGTCCGATGCCAGAAGCCATAAGATTCTTCAGGTAACTGGGATAACAGTAGTGATATCTAGAGGCTCCCAAGTGGCATGGGAAGTAGTGACTTTGGAACAAGACATACCAGGTTTCAAACCAAAGTTTACTGCGCTGAGAGATCCCATTTCCTGTGGATTGTGTTACCACAAAAGACCCTCCAACTGTGCTGAAGGCACAAATACCTCCTGAGTAAGTACAAGAGGAATGTTCTTTGGCTTTAATCAAACATGTCACCAAAAATATACTGAAACCAGAATCAATAATTCTTTTCCAGTCTGAGCACATCCAAAAGGAAAATAGTCTAAGGCCACAGTGTGGAGTTATATGGAGTTGGAAACTGATGTAGCTCTCTGAGTGGGCTTCTTGCTCTACCTTGAAGCTACCTGTCCCTTGGTCTCCCATATGGAAATTTTGCTTCATACAAAAATGCAGGACCACTCAATTTGAAGTACTGGGGTCCCAAAAGTGCAGCATAGCAAACACCTTGCAGAACCTTACCAATACTGACTGGTGGAGCAGCTCGCTGGACTTTAAAAGCAATATAAAGTTTGGCTTGGGTCACCTTGGGCAGTGCTAGAACAGTCCTACAGGCAGCTTTCAAAAGGAACATAAGCTAAAGTGAAAAAAGACACTCTAGATTCTGAAACTTCACACCCACAGTGGAATTATACCCACATAAATAGCAAAAAAAAAAGTCATACTAGTGATTTTTACCAATAACATCTCCCTACTTAGATGAGACCATAAGCTGTAATCCTGTGAAAGATTCTGCCCTCAAAGTCTTACTTAATTCAGTGCAGGTGAAAGGGTCTGCCCAGAACCTCTGCATGGCCATATTTTACACATTTCTACGCCTAACCCACTGCAGCAAATTCAGCACAAAGTTCACTTTAGCATTCAAAATCTCCACCATGCAACAAGTATGGACCTTTTGGGCATTTTTACATGTGGGGGGAAGGAGGCAGCACTTTACATTACAGTGACTCTGAGAGTGGCTAGTTCAATGAGCTGTAGTTCAATCACCCCTGCTACCATTTTGAAGCGTGGGGACGCTGATATATGAGATGCAGGGGTGCTGCTGGAGCGCGGTAGTTCCATGCTCCAGCAGGCTCAATTAAATCGAGTCTGCTTTGACGAGCTATAATTACAGAGCGTCAGAGTAGCTTCCGCACTCGTGTACTTTTAAACTAGTTCTGCTGCTTGAGGGTCTAAGCTTATATTGCTTTAGTTATACATTCACTTAAGAAAATCTATGGCCTTAACAAGCGTTTTGCCCCAAGTGCAGCAGTACAAAAACTTAAAAGAAGTGGGAATAACAACAAAGATTTCAGAAGCAGCTGAGTATGAAGTGACATGTCTCCCCCATATATAATAATTATGGTCCCTAGAGCTCTTCTGTTATGTTAGCAGGGAGCTTTTTAAAACATACCATTCATAAAAGCTAAGAGTCAATGGGTTGTTTACACATTCTTTACAATGTTGTTTTTATATGTAATATAAATTATATGCAGACACATGTACACTATAATGCATGATGTCTCTTATCATTTCTGCTCCTAGGAGGACTGAAATAAGCAGAAATGTTATCAGGTGAACTGGGGAAAACTAATTCAATTAGGAAATGAAAGATGTTACAATGCATATGATGTACATATGACTGTATACCTGTTAATTTAACATTATACCAATCACATTCATATTTTAAATTTGTAAATATAGATGATAACTGAAAACAATAAACTGCTACTGGGCACCATTATGGCTGACATGAAACATCTGAGAAAACCAAAGCTTTCATGAATTAATTCTTACCACTACTTCTAAAACAAGGCAAACTGAAGTGACTTTAGTGCCTAATGTTAAAAAATGATGCAGAAGTATCTTACCATCTAAAGTAGACTGCAGGGGTCCTATTCTTCCCATTCTTCTGACTCGCCATACATGTCTGGCAGATGGCACATACAGCTGAGTAACCTATCAAGTTAATAAACTTTATGCGTAAACATTTCAAGAGCTCGTAAGCCCTAACTCTGCCTTCTTCATGGCTACACCTTTAAATATGATTGTACATAATTAGTGAAATAATACGAAGTGTAATTCACATTCTGTTCCTTCAATGCTCTTAAATTTTCTGACACTCAATTTAAGGAAAAAATGAAGCAGGAAATAAAGATCCTTTTACAAAAACACAACCTCAACGGTGCATAAAAGAAATTTCTTTTTACTTAATATTTTTTTTACTTAAATTTAAGATGAAGGCTATTTTTGGAAGAAATAATACTTTGTTTTAAAAAGTGTCTTTTATACTCAAATGAACTGGCATTATACTATATTATATACCAGTGATGTTCAACCTATTCATCCAGCAGGCCAGATGTACAGTGCCTGGCCATACAGAGAAGGGCAGGTGGCAGCCTCGTCCTGATCCAGCTATGTGGAGGGAATGGGACTTAGCCCAGCCCAGCCCAAACCCAACCCTGTGAGGGAGGAAGTGGGGGGAAAAGGGACAAGGGTGACAGGAGAGGGGGGAATGGCTTGGTTCCAACCTGGCCAGGGGATGTGGCTTAGACCAACAGAGGGGAGAAAGTGGGGTTCAAAGGTGGCATGGCCTGGGCCCGAATATGCTGCGCAGGGGAAGAGGGCATGGCCTTGCCCCAAGCCGGCCACACAAAGGGAAGGGGGCCTGGTTCTAATCTGCTCTGGCCATGTAGGGGGAAGGTCATGCAGAGCTTGGGATTTTGGCAGTAGGGGAGGGGTGGCAGTATTAATTGTCATTGCTCCCCCACCACCCAATTTTCCGACCCTTGGGGAGCCCTGCAGGCTGGATTCCAAGACTTCGTGGGCTGCATTTGGCCCATGAGCCAAACTTTCCAGCTGTTGGGAACCATATCTTTGAGACAACTAGACCAGTTTACTTCAGACTTGGCTTGCTGCTTAGATCCTAGCTTTTATCTGTTGAAGTTATGATTCTGTATATTTTCTGATAGGCATATATTGGCACTCTCCAACACGCATGAATCCACACCCACTTTTCAAAAGCAACTGATGCAGTTTTGGCTTTAACTTCATTAAAGTCACCTAAGGAAATTTTTATTTCAGAAGGAAAGTTTGACTAACTCCACTATATTTCAGAGAAATCCTCTTCCAATGAAGTAAATCTTCTCCTATAAAGATAGGCCTTCTAGTGAGCCTCAGCCCCTAGAACAAATATTTACTGCCTACTGAAATGCATCAAAACCCTGTGGGACTTTGCTTATTGTTCACTGTAGCTGCTTGCAGACATTAAAAAAACACCCCCAAAACACTATACTTTACCGGAAGAGGCTCTGCAGCGTCTGTAAATTGGGCACTTCAACAGAACTCTTTGGCTCTTTTAGCTAAAGCTGATTCAATCAGCTATTAGATCAAAATGCCAAAAAGCACCACTAAAGCTCCCGATCTTTACAGACATCAGGTGAGCCGGGTAATGTAACACACCGCCTCTTCTGGGCATGCCCAGGGCTGGGTGCAGGAATGCACTGAGTTTAAAATAAAGGGCCTTTTTTGTTTGTTTGTTTTTAGTCTGCAAGCTTGTATCAAGTCTTCTTATACCCAAAGTTCTGGTAAATGGGTTCCACTCTCCAAAAGGGTAACGTAACTAGAGGTAAAGGTATCTCCTTAGGTGAAAGACCTTTCTGTGTTTCAGAGAACTGCAACATCATTTCAGATTTTAAACTAGTTTAACTAATCTGTACAACACACTGACATAGTCTACAAAAGTAATTCTTGTACCTCATAACTAATACCCGACTACATATTCATGCATCTTATAATTTAGACTCTTGCATTAGACATTACCCACCTGCATCCTTCCAGTCATTTCTTTCATAAATAAAATCCAATTCCTCCCATTAAGAAGCTTAAACAAACTAGAAAGAACCACTTAAAAGATTAAGTTAGATGTAAGAAACATTATTATTACCTTATCTGCTTTAATGTTTTCTTGTTCTGATAACCAGTGGTTGGGTGGACAGAAATTTCTCCTTGTGTCTCTAGATTTCAACATTTTTACTAAGTTAGTGATGACCTACATGGTAGAAACAGATCTATAAGTTAGCACTTTAAACTGTATGAAGTAAAGGTGATTCTACTATGCAAAAAAATCTAAAGTAATCCTGCAGTGATTAGTTAAAGTTATTTCTTTATTTGTATTACAAACAACGGTATTCTCCTTTGTAAATACTTGATCCCATTTCGTCTTAAGTAACTGAGAATGGGACAAAAATCATCAAAATAATTAGTTTGCTAAAGACTGCTTCCTGCAGATCATAAGAATCTCTCTCACACATAAAGGCACTGTATTGGGATGGTCTGGAGAGCCATCTCCAGTGGTGTCCACCATGGATCGGTGCTTGGACCAGTGCTATTCAGTACATGCATTAACGACTTGGATGAGGGGGTGGAAAGTTCAATGATTAAGTTCACGGACAATACCAAGCTGTGGGGAAACACAGGGACACCAGAGGATAGGGCAAAGATTCAAGATGACCGTGACAAACTGGATTTATGGGCAGAATGAGATCAGATGAGTTTTAATAGGGAGAAGTGCAAAGTCCTTCACCTGGGTAGGAAGAACCCTCACCACAACTATATGGCAGTGGTCCACTGGCTGGCACAGCATCTGAACAAAACCTGAGGGTCACAATCAACTGGAAGATGAATATGAAACAACAGTGCGAGCCAATATGAGCCAACAGGGCAAATAAAACTCTAGCATGTATCAGCCGATGTGTGGCCAATAGATCCACGGAGGTGCTCCTTTTTCTCTATTCAGCATTGGTGAGGCCTCAGCTGGAGTACTGTGTTCAGTTTTGGGCAGCGCACTTCAAGAAGGATGTGGATAAGCTCAAGAGGGTACAAAGAAGGGCCACCCATATGGTTAAGGGCCTGGAGGGTAGGCCCTATGAGGAGAGACTCTGAGAACCGGGGCTGTTCAGTCTGAGTAAGAGAAGGCTGAAAGGGGACTTGATAGCCGCCTACAAATATGCTGGGCAGGAGCATCAGGAACTAGAAGAGCAACTCTTCAGGACGGCACCTCAAGGGAAGATGAGCACCAATGGGCATAAACTAACAGAGGGTAAATTCAGGCTGGACATAAGGAAAACCTTTTTCTCTGTAACGGTTACCAGAATCTGGAACACACTCCCAGCAGACATGGTGCAGTCACCCTCCTTGGAGGTGTTAAAGGTGAGGCTGGACAGGCACTTTGTCAAGCTCATCTGAGCCCAATAACTTCCCGCCCATGGCAAGGGACTGGACTTGATAATCTTACAGGTCCCTTCCAGTTCTATGGTTCTATGATTGTACAGTAGCTCATGAAAACCAAAAGTAACTATACCAGTAATAACTAATTTATTTTATTAGGATGATTTAGAGACAAAAAACATATTCTACCAACATACCAATATTGCAATTATTACAGTACATGAACACCCAGACTTGTAAGATATAAACAAGTAAACATAATCCTACATATATTTAATATAATTTTTAAAATATCATACTGATACTACAGCATATTCAATAAACTTATATGCCTCTCTGAATGTTGTTTTCACCTTTAAGTTTGACAAGTTTTAACATTTCTCTTGTATATTACTTGTATTATACTTGTATATTATTGAATCCATACATATCTGGCAAAACTTAAGCCAGTTCAAATAAAAGATGCAGGGCCATTTCAATATCAGGCAGGGGATATGAGGATGGGTGAACACAAAGCTGTTTATGTAACAAAACTAGGAGGCTGGGGAAAGCATTTATCCTGCTCAGCTGGTTGACAATTAAAAGAATACAACAACAGCTTCACTAAAACCAGGAATAGCCAGAAAATATCAAATCAAAAAATAACCTACTACCTACAGGACGATCACCCTATCCCATTCTTTCATCCCCAAAATGGGTAAAAACACCAGTAAGAAAGAAGCAACATTGTAGCCCCACCTAAATATTATAATGGAAGTAACTGAAAGCCTTATAGTTGTACAGAAGTAAACAAAACAGTTTCTTCTGCTACCAAAACTAGGGATCTACTATGCCACTTAAAACTCTGGCATTTTCAAAAATGAGCTGAAGACACACAAGCACACATGAGCGCTCACACACAAATGCTAACAAGACAGGTGTTATAAGCAATAAACTTAATGAACCTTCTACAGGTCTTTGTGTCTACATACTAAACAAATGATCTTTTAAGATGCAGCATGTTACAAGGTCTCCCACCCTGGAAGACGAGTGACAGAAAATGCTGTTTAGAACTATTTGATTGCACTGGAATTGTTATCATTTTTCCCTTAAAAAAATCCAAAGGAGGTTTGGAGAGACATTAAAGTTACGTGGTCCCATTAGCACTCCGCTTCCAAAATCCAGAAAGAAATATCCCACACAAACAAAAAAACTGTGCCAATAAAATAGCACAAAAACAGTTAAGGAACCTTTAAAAAAAGTTGCAATAAATTTGGTGGGACTGGAGTTTCCTATAGAAAACTGTGCATTCTTTGGAGAAAAGAACCCTCAGTAAACAAAAGGTTCCTTTTTCATATTTTCAAAAAAGCCACACAACTGAGATTTCCATCTAATAATGCAAAGCAAGTATTCAAAAACCTCAGAAAATATGTTGTTGATCTACTACTTTAGCAGCATCAACTCAAGGTTTAGAAAAATCTGTCTTTATCTGACAAAATGTGATTTCCTACATCACATTTTATTGGGTCACTAGTAACTTCACAAAGTCCCTTGGAAAGATTCGATACTATGCACTGAAATTTTCTTGCCAAAACAAGGTGTCCTTCAGTTTTGACAGCTGAATTTTACCACTAGTTAATTATATATCTATAAAAGTAAAGTAGTACTGCTTTATAATTAAACAAATATCTGATAAAAAAGAGCCCCTTAAACATATCTTCTAGATTTATTATTCTGATAATGGAATACAAACCCATCTTTTGAGAATGGCACACTGAAAAAAGTAAGTACATTCAAATGATTTTTCTAGAGTATGAGAATGACTGTCTATTATTTGCATACCATTCATCTAATTGTCTTGTGTGAAATTTGACAGTAAAAAAAACCTGACATTTGAGATGCTAGAAGGAAAACAAAATGTTACAACAATTTTCATCATAACTACTAGAGGTTAGTGAAAAGAGAATGATTACATATGATCAACTAAAGGGCACAAATAGAAGATGACATGGCATAAACCACACACATAAAAGTGTCCCTAACACGCTGTCATGCTAGAAAAATAGACATACCAGGGTCTCAATTTGTGACCTTTAAATTGAAAGTTTATTTGGTAATTTAAAGACAAGTAATTAAATTAAATTGTGCAAACATATATTAGATCAATCTGCACAAATTTCAAATTCAGTGATGCATTAGGACTGTATTCAATGCAATCAAAACATTATCAGTTACTCTCACTGCTACTAATGCTCATAATGCTCATGCTCATAAGTGAAATGTGTTGTAAAATCAGGCAGAATGGGTTGGATAGAGGCTATGGAAGACTTGTAGAATGAATAAGCATTCCTTAATTAGCCCATCAGGTTAAGTGCAAGCGTTAATGGGCCTTTCCTAAAGTCTAGCATGACATCTTTCTCCAAACATGGCCAAGAAGAAAGTTCCATTAGCAATATTAATACAAGCTTAGTTGATCATTTTCATTCAATTAACTTCTTTCAATTAAATAGATAGCTTGACAAAAGCAGTGATAAAAGACCTGAAGGGACAGCTGATGACTCGAACTGAACATTAGTGTGCGAGAGGTCGCCAGTATTAAACGGACTGTAAATCTAGCATTCAATTTGGAAAATGCATTTCTTCTGCTCCCACTCCTTTAATGAGCAATTTTAGCTGACTAGATGTGTTTGCTGCAGAAATTTCATGGCAAGTCAAGCACTCTTTTTTTTTTTCTTTTTTAACGCAACAGTTATATTCTTAGGTCTTTTCCTGCCAGCATTCTCAGCTTCCCTTACTTAACTCAAACCTTAGGCTGGGAAAACTGGTTAGAAGTACATTACTAGTTATCTAGGAACAACCTGAATTAATTTTACATTCACTAAACCATATTCACCCCTTTTTCCCACCAATGTAGTGTCAACAAGACTCAGTGGAGCTGACTGACATGAAACTGGAATGACAGCACTGAATTAAACCAACTATTAAGCCCCGATTCAGCAAGGTACCTAAGTGTTAATATTAAGTTCATAAGTCATTCCCCAATGTTACCAGAACTACTCATATTAAGAGAAACAAGAAGTTTTTAGTCATATCTTTTACTGGTCCTGTTCTGAGCAGGGGGTTGGACTAGATGACCTTCTGAGGTCCCTTCCAACCCTAACCTTCTACGATTCTATGAACCGTATAATTAGGAGAGATGTTAGACAAACGTTTGGGCAGAAAGTGCCTTTCCACACGTCTGGACAATTCATGTAGGTCAGTCGCATGATTAGCTACTTCACTAAATTGCAGGCTAAATGTTCATATACATTTTCCATACCAACTCCTACATAAATCAATGAAATGTAAAACAACCAAACAAAGCAAACCAAAAAAAATACTTGTCAAACAAAAATTACTTTTAAATTACAGTTACCAAAATAAGACTATTTTGCTAAGCAACAATATATTTTGCTAAAACCCAGAATTATTTTTAAAGTCAAGGTTATTTCCAAACACCGTGTTTCCTAAATGATCATATCTGCAACAAAAGCACGTGCATGAAATTAATTGCAGCCAAATACTGTGATGTTACCAGTAAAACATGTTTGAACATGCTGACTGTTTAATTCATGTGAAAAATTGACATCTAATACCTTAAAGAGCTGAATCCATCGTTTTTGTTCCGTTTGTATACATTGCTGCATTTCTGTGTTTGTTGTGACTCCTACACTTCGAAATGCTGCAATATATTCCTCACGCACTTCTGGTTTTGTTTCTGGGTAAGCCAATTTGATGATTCCCAAACAGGCATCTCGAAGGCAGCGTGATAATATTACCAGTTCTTCTAATGTAAAAGGCATCATTGATGATTGTCTTTGACCTACAGCTAAATAAAAGTTAAATACTTTCAAAACAACATTTCTAATATTTGTCTTATTTTCATAGCACAACTGTTGTTTTTTTACTCATTTTAAGAAAACAAATATTGATATTTACACACAAAGTAAAAAAGTGACAGAAAGGAAACAAAACACAAACCAAAGGAACTGACATTAATGCCAACTGCATTCATTACTGTCTAAACTACAGTAAAATAATGGATGCTAATATATTCTCATTTTTGTAACATACTTAATGTTCAATTAACATCCCTTGGCTGATTTTACAAACCTTCTTTCTGCAGAACTCTTACTGAGATCAAAATAAATTTTGAGAGAGTGAGGCTTGCCAAATCAGATCCTATGCAGCAAGCTTTATGCTCTTACCTTCTATGGGATCACCAAAGAATTCATTATCATGAATAGAAATAAGTGAATGACTAAACAAAGAACTAAAAAGGTAGAAGAGAGGGATGATCCGACTGGAGTCTTCTAAAGACATTGGAGACCCTCTTGATATCACTTGAAGTAATGGCACCATAGACCTTAAGATAAAAAAAAAAAAAATAGAAAATAGTTAAATTGATCTTCTAGTTTTTAAGGAAGATTTAAAACTTCAGGATTTTAGTCAAAATACTACAGATTAGTGCTCCATTAAATAGCATAAAGAGTATTCTCATTTTAACGAATGATAGGATCTCTGTGGGGGAACAATACTCTGCTTTTGTTAAATGGGATTATTATTTATAAACCCTTATCAACATTGCACAGAAGTAAGCACCTTATAATGCACTTGCATTATTAGCATTCTTGTTTACAACTGGAGAACTGAAGCAAAGATGCTACCATAACAAGGCTAGGTCAGAACTGGGAACAGAGCTCAGGTCTCTTAAATATCAGTCTAGTGAAGGGGTTAATCTACATCCCACTGGCTAGATCCAGCCCATGGAGCTGGGAGGGCTTCAGCAGAAGTCCAGCAGAGAGAGACTTTGCCCGAGCCATGACTGTTCAGCAGCAGCTTCATCTATGTTGTGGCTGGGAGAAGTGGCAACATCCTAGTGCCAACCTTGGACAAAAACTAGGTCATTCTGACCCACCACAAGAAGTGTTGCTGATCATTGGATTTAGACATAAGATCATCGTTCATATCTAAAAATCACCTCAAGGAGTAAAAAGTACATCACTACCATCTCTACCACATTGCCAAACAAGATGCTAAGAAGGAAGTCCTACTGGTACTCTGCACATATGATATGCTATGTGATCACTAGAACAGTGCTGGACACGGGGTTCTCAGGAGTGAGTTTGAAACTGAGACTGTGAGCACCCTGAAAAGCAAACAGACAACATTTCTAAACAGCAGCAGCAAATAGGTCTGGCTTATTTCTTGATGGTGGTTTTGGGAGTGCTGCAGAGATGGTATACACATACCTAAGAGATCTTTTCTACCTCTAATATGACCATACTGACAGATTACTTTAAATTGTATGTGAATAATATAAACATCACAATGATAAATGATATAATATTTAGATTCATAAGTACCAAAACTGCATTGGAAACAGATATGCTAAATTCAAACAATTCAATTTTTAGCAGAGCGATTTTATTTCATTTTTAAGCAATGATTAAAAACAAAATATAACTCCAACAATTCTGTACCAATAAATATACATTTATATCTAGGAGAAAGTGCAAGTTGGCACACATACACATTACTGAAGTAACTTAAGGTATGCTTTGTATTTACAAAGCATAGCAATCGCTACATCTCAGGCTGAATAAACTCAAAGTTGGAAGACAAAGGTGTTTTTAGCAAATAAACTCTGAGGTCAAAGGCTAAAGCCCATTAACCCAGAACATGAATACCCTTTTTACCCCCGCGCAAAGATAAACAGGAAGCAACTTCAATTTCTCACGCTGAATTGTACTAATTTATTGAAAATTTAAACAAAAAGATACTGCCAAAAAGATAAAACCAAACTGCTGAAAGGTAAACTGTTTCAAACAGTTACAACTCTTTGGAGCCATTCCTTTCACCCTCTTTTCATCTCCTCTCATTTTCCTTTTTCCTGCGTTACTATTATTCTCCCTTCTATCACTGCAGAACATTTGATTTGCATGATTTACATGATTTTACCACCTTGCATCTTAGGAGGGAGGTAATGGTGATTTTACAATTCTGACACAAATATACATAATTTATTCTGGGAAGTTAGGCCATCTGCTCCTTAAATGAAGGAATTGGGGAGGGGAGACAAAAATAAGAACAGGACACTGAGAAGAAGGGAAAAGGGCTTATTTTTTTTGCCACAGTTGCAAGCTTTATGCTCTCTGCTTTCAGGTATAAATTTTTCTTTTCATGCAAAATTAGCTACGATAAGGATTAGGATGTTGATCTAGGAACATGCTGTTTGTTTCCATGACCCGTGCCCTGCATTCCTGATCTCTGGTCTAATCTGACGTCCCTCACATCAGGAAGAACCAACGTAGATGAGAGTGCTTTTCTTAAATTCCTGCTTCAAATTTTTAGATAGTACTGTCAGTGCTTGTTCAATAGAATCAACATAATCTTCAGAAAATGCAAATATCATTATCATGTTTAACATAAAGACATGTGAACTGTTATTTTAAAGGAAGGTTGTGATACTTCACTTAGCACATACCTCTAATTAAACACCAGCCTTATTCCCAAGGCCCTTTAATGTTTTTACTACATCAAAGCCTCAATTAACATTAATGGAAATTTTGCTGGAGTATAAATAAGAATCAACTATAGAAATTTTCTCTTTAAACTCTTTTTTTCAACCTACTGTATTTTTTCAAGTGTATCACAAGGTCTTATTTTCTTTTTCATTACATATACTCTATTCTAATTTAAGCTCAATGAATGATATAACACGTACCCTGTAATCATTCGTGTAGTCATTGAAGAGATTAGATACCAAAGATGCCTTAGGAACCTGGCATTAAAGGCTAAGCTGTAAAGAAGCCTAAGAGAGAAAGGAAACAGGTTATTGCAGAAATCAAGTTTGCCCACAAAATACAATACTTTAGCTTCCCTTTTCTGTCAAACTTTTCCCTATATGACATACATGCAAATTAAAGATACTTTTAGTTACTTCTTTATTGTATACTTACATTAAACGATTCAAACTCTTTTTACAGAAGGGAATAAGAGTGCCCCATGAAAAAAAAAAATCATGATTTGTTAAAGACCTCAATTCTGCAAGGACAAGTACACAGATAAATCCCTGTACCTAAACTATATTAAAGTCTGTATCAAACTACTGGATGGGACCCAAGCTTGTGCTCTATCACAGAACTGAGACCCATATTAAACAAGCACAGCACACCTTAAACCAGAGGTTCGCAACTGGAGCATCTCAGAGTGCTGCTGTAGGCTGAAACTGCGCCATGCATCTTGGTTTTCAGTAGGTATGTTGGAGCTGAACTCACAAGTGGCTGCAGCAGAAAGGCACTCCTGCCAGGCTAGCATTACGTTATGCAGGCATGCATGCCACTTCTACTGCAGCTCTTCTAAGCCGACATGACTCCTGAAAACCAAGGCACGTGGGCAGTGGCATCTATCTTCAGGCTGTGCTGCCACTGCAGGGCACAACTGTGCTGCGTGACTCAGTTTTCAGGAGGTATGTTGGAACTGAACCGTACAGTAGCAACAAGTATGCTGCAGCACCCTGTTGGTCTGCTCCCACTCACCTTTCGGGCCTCATGTGTCCTTTTACACACTCCGTGCACACATTTCTCACACCCCCTTGGCCTGATTCCACACCCTCAGTGCTTCCCATGTGCTGCCCAGCACTTTGTCTGCCAGTTGGGCATCCTGGGACTCTGTCCATTAGGGCACCAGGAATGGAGTTGACAGGGGAAAACCCTGGGTTAACTAGGGAAAGAACTTGGCCCAGAGGTTTCCAGGTCTCAAATGGGAAACAACTCTAACTAGGTTTGGGTTAGGGTTAGGGTTAAATGTGATGTGGTTAAATTTACCTTAATAGCACAGAAAATAAAACAGATTTTTAAAGTACACAATTTTAGTTAAAAGTAGATAAAATGCTTCAGAAAACTAACCTCTTAGAAATGATTTTTTTTTTAAATATATAAATACTACTTTTTTCATCTGATTTAATTCTGTGTTGCAGGATCAACTGCATTTATTTTTCCCAACATTATAATGACTTCTTGGAATCTTGCACAATGAGATCCAAGGAGCACTGTTTGTCCTCAAACACTCTGGCATCCATTTTCATTGCACCCACTTAAAGTACATGCCTGTCTGAAGGCAGACAATAGCCCCATGTTTAAAACACAGAAAATGGTGTGCACTTTCACCAATTCAGCTTATCATGCCATGATCACCTTTAAAATAATGTGACAACATCAGAGGTTTCATGTAAGACATTGATGTATGCCAGCTTCCTAAAAATCACCAGCTAACAACAAACTTGCTAAGTTTTTACAAGAAATGGATATACAAAAAGAATCAGCTCAGCCACTTTTTGCCTTTCACAAATACAAATAAAATCCAGGGACCAAACTCATTTATTTTTCTGAATCTCAAAGTGTCTCTATTACCTGTCCTTCACACCACATCCAAACTTTCCCAATTACTGCCCACAGTAACAAAAATGCATCTTTTCCCCTAGCCAAATGTCTATATATGAGGCCATGCATAAAGAAGAACAGTGGAGGAGAGGAAAGAATGTGAACTAGGAGATGGTAGGAAGAACCTACTGAATTTGGAGCACAAATAATAATTTTCAGTTTTTTTCTAGAGAAAAAAGGAAAATACACATTTAACCAGAAAGAAAAATAGCTTTCACTGCAAACCTGGCAGAGAAGGCATGCCTCTCTAAGGTTCCAAGTCCAGGCTGTCTTGCAGATTTTTTTTCATGTATTGCCCTAAGACAGCCTTTCTGATTCATCCACACAACTAAAATGCTCATTCAGGCTGCCATCATTTCATGGCCACATATAGCCATGGCACAGGGAGTAAGAGCCTTGTTCGGCTTACAGTGTAAGGTGTAACAAATGTTAATCAGCTTAGCGGAGCAGTCACACCTTAAGGCAAAATAACATCTTTACCTATCTACCTTTTGCCTGCATAGCTGTGACTTGCTACCAGAGGTTTGGTGAGAAGGGTAGGAGACTAAGAGCTAGGGCAGGGGTGGGCAAAATATGGCCCGCAGGCTGGAAATGGCTTGCAGAGGGACTCTGTCTGGCCCATGGCAGGTCCCTCGGTTTCTCCTGGCCCAGGCACCATCTGTCCCCATGGCACATCCCACTGTCCCAGGTGTGCAGAGGGGCTGGGGCAGCTCTGTGGCTGGACTCCATTTCTAGGCAGCCCAGGTGGTGGCTCTTTCCGGCAGCTGCCACCACTGGCCTGTGGCCCACTGAAACAGGCAGGGCCCACCCACCTCCTTGGCCCTGGCCCTGGCCACCCTGCGCCCGCCCCAACTAGAGTGGACCAGATCCACACCAGCTGCGACCCACGTGCACAACCCCGGCCCTAGGCCATCCTGTGTCCACTCCAGACCTGCCTGCCCATGATGAGCAGCAGTGGCTGCAATGGTGACTGGGCAGAAGCTGTGGCTGGGCGTGGGGGGAAACTGGCCACCTCCCCCTTGCCACTGCCCCCTTGCCAAGGTGTCTCTTGCTGCAGCCGCCTGGAACCCGTGCCCAGGCTGCCCTGTGGCTCCTCTCCACTGCAGTCACCACTGCCAGCACTGCCTCTGGGCCACCCAGTGGTGGCAGTGAAGAGGAGCTGCAAGACAGCCCAGGCACAGGCTCTGGGCAGCTATAGCAATAATCCCTATAGGAAAAAGGGCTGGGCCGTGGCGAAGAGGAGGTGACCACATTTTCCTTGTGCCCAGCAGCAGCTTCTGCCCAGCCACCACTGCTCATCATGTGCAGGGCAGTCTGTTTTTGGTTTTGGGCCCAGATTTTCAAGGTATTTTCACATTCAGAGATGCTGGGAATTACCTTACTGGAATGTCAAAAGTGCCCAAACAGGTTAGATGCCTAACTCACTTTGAAATAAACGGAAATCTCCTTTTGGAAATCTCACCTAGGACAATGACCTACATCATTATATATCAGAACACTTTTGAAAAATCTAGTACTATACCCTTCATATTTTTAGAATTACTAGATCTCATTCTCTTGCAGATAAATTTTTGTTCATAACTATTTTGAACTCTCTGAATGAATGAATTTAAATTAAGGAAATAGTCTCTGCATCTGATAGCTAAATCGAAACCAAATGCAATTACAGCAAAAGCTTTTCTGTTAAAGGAAAAAAAAAAGAAAAGAAAATTCTTCCAAGAAAAGCTAAATATCAGTATATACTCCACCATGAAGGCTGCATAAAACACTTCATGCTTCATAATGCTCACTAACATTGAGACATATTTATAAAGCCTGAAAAATTTGAATATTCTTTCCCTTACTCTATACATAAATTTAAAAAGTACCATCCTTTCATTCATCAGAATTTGAAGAGGGCTCAATAATGCTGCAAAACTATACTATTTAAATTATTTCAACACTGGCTGTTATACTGTCAAGTTTAAACCCTTTAATTGTTTTAAAAGTCTATATTTAATTTATATTAACATCTTAAAATTAAAAAACATTGGTTTTATCCACCTTGGAACTCAACAATTTTTTTTCAAGACACAAATTATTTTGGCTCATATCAACTTATTATCGTTTGCCTGAGGTTTTTTTAATATGAATTAATACAATTAAGAACTGGGATTCATATTTCAATGTTTAAATATATATTTTAGAAAATGTTAGCTTAGTTGTCTCAGTTTTTAAGCTGAGAAATTTCTGCAATGACCTTCAGCTCTCTGCTTCATATTCAAAATGAAAAGCTATTTGGCACAGTGCCTTTAGGTCTCCCAGGGCATCCAAGTAAAAACTTGTTAATTTTACAATCATCCCTGGAAATTATGTAATAGTTTTAGCTGAAATGAACAAACATTATGGATACTGGACCTATCATAATCTAATTCACTTTTTCATTCTGGCAATGTTCAGCAGTATTGAAAAAAAAAAAAAAAAAGG